AACCCTTTCAAAAAAATGAAATAGAAGGTCAACACAATGTCATGCACATTGATGATGATGAAGGTCGATCATTGATTGATCCTACTAGAGCATTATTAGAATTGGACGGTGATGAAATAAATATTCGGAATGAATCGAGTTAGAAACCGATGTTGAAAAAGACTTAGATGAAGAATGTGACAATGATTATAATGATAGTGATTAGAGATAATATGATATATCCCATTGGATTATGTTATATTGTATTTTTTATTCAATTCATAAATTATGCACATGGATTTTATGTAATTGTTGTTCGAATTTAAGGGTTTAGGCAACCTTGTCCTCCCAGGATGTTGGGATAGGCTGGTTTTATCCCCCAAGTGTAATTTTTCAAACTATTTTAATAAATCTCCAGTGGTACCGTCCTCGTTCTGTCACAATTTTAGGAAAAAATTAAGTTTATTCGTATGTTTACCTACATAGTTAACATATAATTTTTAAAGATAAGATTTAATTAAATAAATGTTTATGATTTATTATTGTTTAGTATAAATCAATTAGTTCATATTAATTTGAATGTTATATGTAAGTATATATGCATTATATAATTCATATTTTATTTAACAATTATTGACTTTAATAATTAATATGTAGGTCATAATGACTCGAGGTAGGGGTCGTGGTTCAAATACCGATCGGTCCGACGGTGATCGTGGACGTCGTAGACACCCTTCTTATTTCGCTCATAGTCGGATGGATCCCCTACCGGACATGCCTTCGTACCACTCTTCCGATGGCCCCTCCACATCCCGTTCCATGCTTGTCATGTCTCGGCCGCAGCCTTTTGAACCTCCACGTCAACCTTCCTCATCTTTTCCGTTGTCATCGTCGGTGCCTTCGTCATCGCATCGAGACAACCGTTCCGTTCCTCAACATGTTCCACCCCATAATGTCCCACGTCAATCGGCTTCGGAACCAATAACATCCGTGGTTGACCATCGAGTACGGGTCATTGTCGTTGGGCGCAATGAGTACGATTTATGCTTAATTTAATTAAAAAAAATTTTGGTTACCGTTATAATGTACTCCGTTATTTATGAATTTAATTAATGTTTATTTTTTGTAGGTTGTATCCTCTCGATGTTTGCTCTCGCTCGATCGTTAAGACATTCCAAGAGTACGTTCATTCTTCGGGATGGATGTGGGAAAAAATGAGTCCATAGACAAAAGATTTTTACTAGAAAGAATTTAAGGTTCTAATTTCTAAATTTTATTTGATTAATTATGTTATTTAATATTTAATTAAATTGTATAAAATAATATGAAAGTAAAGTTAGTAGTGTTTATTATTTTATTTTTTTTTTGGCAAAAATCATTTAAGTGGGATGATGATTTGAACGAGAGCATAGTTAAGAAAGCATGGAGAAGTCTCGCACGGAAGCGATATTCGACTTCCTTTGTCGTCTAAGGAAAAAACCAAAGCCGGTATATATCTCACAGGAAATATGAGATACATGGACTACGGAATGGACGAAACCCGAGGCCGTTGCTCGATCCGAGATGGCGAGCACGGAACCGTAGGAGCGAGGCCGGTGGAGTCGGAGCCGGTCTTTCTAGACATACGGGGGGATCAATTAGCCATAGAGAGCATGCCATACGCATGGTAAAAAAAAATTATATTATTTAATTTATTTATAATTTTTTTAAAAAATAATACCCAAAATAATTAATTAAACATCCGACTATATTTAATACATTTACGTTTATTTATATATGTTTTCGGCGTAATGTGTTGGGTTGTGAACTCGATCCTCACAAGGTTTTCTTGAGGACTTATCAAAGAAAGGTTAATGATCGGTTAGTCTTCGTCGATCAAGGGTCGATGGTTATCGGAGTAAGTGATAACTTTGAAACATTATTTAATATCCGTTAGTTAATAACGTTATTTGACAACCGTATTTGATGTGACGTGTTTCATAATTATACAGGAGACCGTACAAAGATTAATTAATGAGGAAGAGGTTGCTAGTCGATAGTCGGGAGGGACCGAAGCGACCGCACCCGACATTAATGACATCTTTCAAAGGGCCGTTGGTGGAGGAGATAGTAGGAGGAAGAGGATGTACGGACTCGGCTCACATGTATCTCACTATTATTCAACTGTCAATGCGGGCTCATCTTCTGCTACTTCCGGATTCAATGTAGGCGACGAGTCACGGTTGAAGGAAATTCAAGAGCAAACATCCGCAAACACGACGCACATCCATAACTTAGAGGGTACGCGTGAGCGACCTACGGGGCCAAGTGGCATCGTTGTAGAATACCATGATTAAGTTGAGAAACAATAGTCGAGAGCGAGTTTACGATGATGTCACGGATGCGACGAGATGTTCATGTGGCATTTTGAGCATGGTGGTAGTTCATCCGTCGTTCCCGAGACCAACAACAACTCGACCCGACCTCCGGACGACTTTACCTGACCTTCGACCGATCCTAGACATTAACTTATTTTAGATTTTCCGTTTTCTTGTATTAATCTGCAACTGATGTACTATTTTTTTTTATTTAACAATAATGTAATTATTTAGCGACGTTTTAATACATTTTGAATAATAAAAAATTTACGTTTACGATATTTTACGAGATTTTTGCGACTTTAAATTGTTACTTTCACCTCATTTTATTATTGTTTTAAATAAATTTATTTTTTTCAATTAGCGACGGTCTTAGAAACGGTCTAGATCGTCGCTAAAAATAAAATATTACCAACGGTCTGCACCATTGCCAAATTGACCGTTGCCAACAATTTAACAACGGTCAAGACCGTTGCTAATCCATCGCTATTTAGCAACGGTCATACCAAGGGTTTACAAGACCGTCGCTAATGTCATAACTCGTTTACATTGACATTTAGCGACGGAATAGCAACGTTTTAGACCGTCGCTAATTTCGCAACGGTCTAAACCGTGGCTAAAAAACACCAACGAGGTTTTTAGCGACGGTTACTTGACCGTCGCTAAACCGTTGCTAAAAGTTTTAGCAACGGTTTTTTTTTATTTAGTGACGGATTTTTCCATCGCTAAATCCCATTTATTTGGCAGTGCACCTGAATTTAAAATGCAGCTTCACAAGATGATGTTACAACCACATGCTTTCTCTGTTGTTCTTAATTCCCTAACCGATAAAGCCAAGCATCCCAGAAGTTAAATCTGAAGTTTTTTATTCACTGCATTATTAAGCACTGGTTCAGCCAAATCAATACTCGACACCTCTTTAAATAAAATAAACCAAACAAGAAATGAGAGTTAAACTTGATTTGCAGGACATGGACATGAGCGGAGCTGACGACGGCAGAGAGACTTAATTATAGTTATTTTTTGGATGACATGACTAATTTATCCATGTGTCTTAATGTTCTATGATTTTGAGTGGTGACCAGATTTATGTAATGATTTTTCTCATAATTTATTATCTCAAATAATTTGAGCGTGCTTAATATGAATAGTCTTTTGATTATAGTGGTAGGAAGAAAACTCATTCAGTTTGAGGTTTAAATTTTGAATTCAAATCAAGTTTACTTCTTCTGGTTAGCGCCGGGCACTCATGAAAATATTCTTCACTCTTTTAGGCTTCATTCTGATATCTTCCATATATCGAAATTGTATTTGTAAAATTTAAATAAAATTAATTAATTTTTTGGAAATTAATAATTATTATTTTACATCAATTATTTTTTAAAATAAATAAATTTTATTATTTAAAAATAGACAATAAATTTATTTATGAAACTAGTCAAATATATTAATAAATAACATAACTATTTTAAGATCAATAAACTATTTATTTTTAAATTATATAAAAATGACCATATGAATAAATAAAATAAGTATTTTAAAATTAATAAATTAGTTATTTTTAAGAAATCACTATTTATTTCATTTATGAAATAAATAAAAACTAAATAGCATAATATACAAGGATTTGAAAACATAAAATACTTAATTTATTTATCCATTCACATTAAAATAATAAATTAACTATTAGAAAGAGAAAGAGTTAGTTTATAATTTTTATAATTTTTTTTTATATATTTATATATTTCAGAAAGTGTATGAGTATCATTATACTTCGAGTTTATCAAACTAATCTCTCTAATGTGTCCTAAAAACAAAACATGGATATTGGTCTTCTCAAAATACCCATATCCATTCTTACGATCCAAGACCTTGTATTAAGTTAGATTTATTGTTAATTCAATCAACTTGTCATACAATTTGGATCTATGTCATTTTTTTTAAAAAAAACATGAATTAATATAGAATAAAAATTAGTTAATTAAAATATCGAACATATATAAATATATACACACGCATACATATAAATGAAAAATAGAAAAAGTTAACACTAAGAAATCCAAATAAATTAACATAGGCATCCCAGGTTCCTATGTTTGTGGAAATAGGCTTTAAATTCTTTATCTTTCGAATTTAATTGATTGTCACCAAATAATTAAAACATTGATAAATTGAACTCAATCAATGACGGGTTGTAAATAGAGAATAAGAACAGGATTAAGTTATGCCTTTTCAAAGAAAGAAAAAAAGTAGTTTAATTGAAATTTCTTGATAAATCCCTCCTCCCTCAATTTACTGGTATTATTGCCCGTCCCTCCTTTATGTATTTGTATTGTTTATCCTCAACTCATCACTCTTTCAGCTAAAAAATTTTGTGACTGCTAAAAAATTTCAGAAAAAGTTCAATTTTATTTCTGTATATTTATAACAGTGCAATTCGGTTTCTTTCAAACAACGTAGTCTATGGTAGGAAGTTGACTATAATTCTGTTAGTTTCCGGAGTTTGTTAGTTTTGAGTGGCAATCGATTAGATTTAAATTCCAAAAAAAAAAAAAAAAAGAAATAAAAAAAGGGTGGTTTTTGCCGACCATTGCACGACAATACTTCCAAAAAAAAATTCGACAAGGTTACAATTTGTGCATGAGTCACCTCACAGATCACGCCATGTCGTTCAAGAACGAAAGTCAGGTCGTTTGGTTTGTGACTGAATGCCACCGTTGTGAGCTCTTAAAATTTAACTTCTTCCTCGACCGCGCAGAACAGAAGAGAAGGAAGGAAGGATATGCTTGTAAACAAACTTTTGAAGGGATGCAGAGTCAACGACACCGTTTTGTAGATTCTTTACACTGTTCATGTATAATAATAGTGACTGGTATGGTTCGTTTCTATTTACTCCCATATTAGATCCAGTCCTGTTATCGCAATTTTTTATTTTTTATTTTTTTTTAATTGTTTCGATTTCAATTTCTGAATGTCTGGTCTTTTGTTCTTGTTCTTGTTTCAGCTGTCGTAATACAAGTAGTTTGCGTTGTATCGGTTGCTGTTCCGAGCTCTAACTGTTACGCTCTCGATTATTCTAGTCGACTTGTTGATTTTGTATCCTAAATTACATTAGAAAACATGTGTTTTCTCGGATTTTTGGTTTTTTTTTTTCCTTAAGATATTAATTTTTAGAGCAGTTGGGTTGGACATTTTTTTGAGTATGAAGGAAAGGTAATTTTGTTTTTTCAAATGTTAGGCTGTTTTGAAATGAGAATCTGAAGTTGTTCAGGGTTTTTATTTTGTTATAAATTGTATTGTGATGCAGGACACGGACGTAGTAGTTCGATTTTGCAAAGATGTGGAGGCTAGATCCCAAATGGTAGTCTGTAAAACCATGTTCTCAAGTATTTTATCATCTTCCTACTTCATTAGAGTTGATACTCGACAGTATATAAGTAATGATTTAAGTAAACTACTGACGGAATAAAAGATTTCATGATGCATAGGGAAGAATTAGATTAACATTGTTTTAAGTGATCATTAATTTTACTTTGACTGAGTGCACAACTCGTGAAACTTAACCAATTATGCTACTGAGGAACAAATTTAAGACTATATATGCTCTTAAGTTGGTGTATGTTTGTAATAGAATGTTTCTGTGGTGCAATTGTGGTTTGTATTTTAATGCATTTTGCTTGCATACTGTGCAGGGATATGTGGATTTTGGCCGATTGTTGGTGTATGTTCGTAATAGAATATTTCTGTGGTGCAGTTGTCATTTATAGTTTAGTGCATTTTGCTTGCATGCAGGGATACGTGGATTTTGGCCGATTTAATAATTTCAACCACTTCGTTGCTGGCTCAGGACGTGTCAATTTTGTTCAAGTAAGCTCTTAGCTTTTAAATTATGTCTTTCTGGACTTTGTTGATGATGACATTATGCTCTACCTTTACCCTGCTTCTTTTCCTTAATAGGCGACATCAAATTTGTCAGATAAGAAGTATCTTAGAATCCTTAGGTGAGAGAAGTGGGGTGGGGGGCACAGGAAGATGAGAATACAATACAAGAGAATGATCCTTGGTGATCCTTTCTTTTGAATAATTTTTTTGTTTACATGTATGGAGGTGAGTTGCAAACTGATCCATGTCTTTTCGGCCTTCATTTTGGGAGAGCGCCAGTTCTGTTGTCAGGATACTTGAAATGCTAGTTGCAATAAGAAAAACATCCTATGCAATGGCAGGTACTACTTACCATTTGTTTAGTAGAGGTTCAATCTACAAAGTTCTGAAGTTTTTCCATTGAAAAATCGCTTCTAGAACCCCCTTCCTTCCTTTCTCTCTATCCTCTCATTATCGCATTTTCTCACCCAAGGTTTTGAATTGGTTTTTTCTGATTGATGATGCTGAAGGAAATAAACCTTTTTTAATGTTTGGCTGACTAATTTATATTTGTCGATACTATTCTCAACTTAGTTCCGGAATTCAAAATCCAATTGTCTGAATCATCTAAATCTTTTTCTTTAGGGGTATTACAATGGCGACTTGATGAATTGTGAGCATAGTTATGACAAACTGGGACGTACAGCTCAGGTCAGTTGTGATGATGTTTCTTTTCTTATTTTACAGCTTGACACCCCCACCAAAAAGAAAAGAAAGAAAAAGAGTTAAAATAAACATTGTGTAAGTGTCATTTTTGTAAGGAATTTACATGCATTTGTAAAATTGTTATTTAATGTAGCTTTGCATTCAATAGTGCTAATGTATGTGTATAATCTTGATAAATGTCTCTCTTTTCCAATCTCAGGTGAACATCATATGTGGAAGTTGTTTAAATGGACAGTGTAAAGGTTTGTGAATGTTTCGTATATGCGTTCATTATCCAGTTGCTTCATGGCCACTTGGAACTGTATAGTGTTCGTTTTCTTCATCATTTCTTTATTTTGTTGCAAGGAAGCATAATTCATTAGTGTTTCTGAATTTAATGAAAAACAAAAAACCTGGGAAATTCTGTGGAAAATAAAGACTCCTAATGGCAAGTCAAAATTCTAGATAATGATTGTTTAAAGAAGGTTAATGCACCCTTAGAGTTGGTTTTGTAAATCTACAAACTGCTTAATGGACGATTTGATTTGACATCGTCAATTGCCGGGTGCACAGATGCTGGTGCTGAATGTGTATCCTATACACCACAATCTGCCTTTTTTTCCTTTTTTGTCTTTCTTATGTTTCCTTGTTGGATTCTTTCTGGGACACCCGATATGACTGAAAATAATATAAAGGTTAAACTCACAATTCCTGTTAAGATTGTAGCATAATGCTTATTTGTGTCCGGACTATGTTTCTTTGGGACAACTCTTTTTTAATGGTTGGCTGATTTTGAAGTGCATTGCTTTTGTTGTTCTTTCTACTTATATTTGCGATTTTTGTGTTTCTGAATCTCTAGTGCATTGGGTATTGTTCTAAAACACTGTGCTAGTAAGTAGAGACTCGTTTCATCACCTTTGTTGTCTCATTTCAGGTGAACTTGGATGCATATGCAATATTACTCAGGAGTCAAGTTGCAGGTCTCTTCCATTCAATGCTTTTGATTTTCGTTTTATCCTGCATAAATCCTTTTAATTGTACCATAGAGTTAGGTTCCAGCTTACGATTCTGCGAGCAGCCAAATTTTGGTATGGTTACATCAATTATTGTGAAATTAATATGCTGGAGATGCATTTAATTGAACTATAAGGCCCTTTCTATTGAACTTCGAGGGTTCTAGGTGCAGAAATGTGTGGTCATGTGGGTAAAAAATGTTCAGTAGTGTATTTTGACTTATTTTCACTGAGTGGGAGCAGGAATTTTTTTTTTCGTCTCATTATTTTGATTGATAAAATTCATGTAAACAGTAAGTAGGAGAACTACCAAGTAGCAGGAGAGGTGGGAAACTACCTTGTTTGCAGTCCATTTAGAGAGTGTGTATCTGGATTACAGATGCACATTCCCAGGTTCCCATGAAAAAATTTGAGAAGTAAACATACAAAGTAAGAGAATTTGATTCCAATGGTACTGTCTGTAAGAGTAGTATATATGCATTAATGGGTTGGTTAGATATAATTCTATATTATTACATCTTCACCTGGTGGTGGTGTAAGTTTCAACTAGAGCATATATTTGTACGTTGAAACTTTCCAAGTAATATCAATTACTTTATTTCAAGGCAATAATACGGTCATATCAGAAAGGTTCAAGTAAGAGGCTGTCTTTGGCCATGAGATGTGTTACATAAGCAAGCGGTTTTTTTTCTTTTTTTTCCTACTTTGGTGATTGCATGTTTAGGGTCGTCTCCCATTTTAGGGGAAGTCTAATTCAAAACCTCACCCTTTAAGGGGACTGTTGCTATCAATCAGGCTATCGAGCCAGATTGGTTAGCAAGCAGTATTTGTTGATGTAATTGAACAATTTCAAAGTGTCCGACACTAAATTTGAACATAAGTCAGATTTTCTAGTTAGAAAGAAGAATCACAAATTCTTCACAGAGAAGACCTTTAGATAACTGTCAAAATCTGGAGATGGAGAGTTCTAAAGCATGAGTGATTGACTGGGCTTTTTAGAGACGTGCCAAGTAAAACATTGGCTGTGTCATCAATAAATAATAAAATAATCAAGAATCAATATCTTCCTTCCATTTCTCATTTGGCCTTCTAGGAACTTTTGAGGAGAGGAGTTGAAGTCTGTGAAGCCTTCTTGCTAAACATCTTGAAGTAATTGCATGGTGCCTCTGCTGCACTGCATCAAAAGGGACATTGAAGCTATGTCTATGTGCACTAAAAGTTATTTACAAAACTGCTTATTGATTAATGACTATTACTTTGGGAAAAACTTGGTGGAAAGGGAATGATTGGATACAAAATGTTCAAATCTCTTGTGGTGTCAAGAATTGCAATTACACTGTAAATTAACAAGTTTTAGAGATTCCCTTCTCTTTTTCAAAGTTTCCAAGTCATTAGTTGAACTGTCGAGTCACTTCTCTAAGTGTGTGACTATTTTTCCCACTGTCAGGGTCTTTGTTGAACTTGCAATTCCATGCGAGAAACCTGGTCCTCGGGTATTTGAGGGCTTCACTGTTGGATTTCATCCACAATCACGGGAAATTGTAAGAAGCCATGCTTTTATTGCTGATGAATGTGCAAAAAGAGAACATTTGTAGAAGTTTCACTTTCTTCATGAAATTGTAGGTTTACAATGGAATGACTCAGCCGGGCTTTGAAAAGTCACACCAGGATTTTAGGTAAAAGATCTGTACCATGAATGGTATTGCTTTGTCTTTTTATTCCAGTGTAACAAAAACTTTTGCTCATTTAATGAGAAAGCACTCGCATTATTCTCTGACCAATGATGTGAGTTCTAATTTTGCAGCTTAACAACTGAACAAACTCAAGTAACCCTTTATATGACTGCAATTGCTTCCCTTTCCACTTTGGTGCGAAAGCCTATTATTAAGGTACTCCTTGTCAGTTCCATGGATTAAAAGCTGATATTTTGTAGATGTATGATGTATCTGCTTATATGTCTGATCTTTTTATGTTGGTTGCTGTCTCAGGTTCTTCCAGAGAAAGGCCTGAAGGTTAGGTTGTCAGGTTCAGGGGCGACTGGAAGTCCTCCTACAACCTTGACACCTACATTGTTAAATGTTGAATGGATATGTATGGTTACCACCCTTTTTGCAGTGTCATTGATATCTCTTTTATTTGATAATCTTCTAAAGTTAGAATTGTAAAATTTGAAGGTCTGGAGGCTCGTAATACACCATATGAAGTTAATTTCACAATACCAATTGAGGGTTACGAGCCCATTCAGTTTTTCCTTACCAAAATTTGCGGTAAGCTCATATTGCTGTTGGAGCAAACCAAGCTTTCCTGAGATGTGTGGTTATCTTAATGTCTCTCCAATGTACATTTATCAATGATCTCATAGATGATGCCCTATGCTTTGCTAAACCTGTTTGGTTGTGTCAGTGCTTCCCTAATTCTCTGTTGGTAGTAACAAATTGTCACACCATGACATTTTTTGAGTGGTCCCAGATGCCAACAAGTTTCCACGTCAATACCCACTAAAAACTTGCTGGTGCTCGACTTTAGTTTCAATGTCTTCTTGCTTTCTGTATAAAAACCTGGTTGTTTGTTCAAATTTTGCAGAACATAGGCAGGATCAAAGAGAAGATTCTACTAGAGGATGGGCCATATTCGGAATCATATCTTGCATGTATGGAAATTCTATGATTTTTCCAGTTTAAGAAGTGTTATGAGCACATTTCAAGTAGATTTTGTATGGGCTATATTGGAAAACTATCTTGCTTTCAGTTGATTTAATATTCTTCATCTCCTTCATTGACCGATAAGGAAGGAAATTTTATGTCCTCATTGGCATGTCATAGGTTATAAGGGGTGTTTCTTTATCCATTCTGAATTTTAACGACTGAACACATTGGCATGGAACAGATTCATTGTTACATCAACTCTGTTTTGTGTGGGGGGTTCATTTACAAAACACGTGTGGAACGCCTGGTAAACTTCTTTGCTTTCCTTTCCTTTTTAGCATTAGATAGTCTCTAGCTTCTGATTTTCTTCACAACAGTTGTGAAAGAATATACATCTATATTTACTCATTTATTTATTGTTTGAATTCAGCATGGGATTGATGCATTGCCAGGCATGAAATATTTGTCTGCTTGTTTAGAAACTGTAAGTTTGCATAAACTTTTCTGGCAAATTATGTTATTTGATTTTTACTTTTAAATGATGATCCTTAATGAGTTGAGTTAGTAAAACTTGCACATAAGTGCTAAGGAGTCTATGTGAACAGGCCAATGGGCCGAAGTTCATTATTTTGTTGGTGGTAATATTTTTTGGTGCCTAGTTGCCTCATGGGGAACTTTGTTGAAATCATGATTATGAAATGTGCATTGTTAGTCATCATTCTTTTGCAGGTTTTCTTAAGACTTGTTAATAGATATTCATAGTTTCTAGATAGCAGTGCTTTTGTCTGCCAGTTGGGGCATGCATTGTTTGGTCCAAATTTGGTGTTCTAGTTAGGTTCCCTCCAAATATATATATATATATATACGTATTGAGTTTCAACAGGGCGGTAACCTTACAAATTGAGGCAACCTGGCCCAAGAGGATTGCATTGTGGGTTGTGAAAAAACAATTGTGTTTTTGCATGTGTGTAGACTTCCTAACAGCTAATTTGCGTTTCTGAAAATAGGCAAGTGGAGGAAGTTATGGCTATTCACGACCAGAAGACAATAGCAGTGGCTATGCTAGCGAAGCTTCGTGGGAACGGCCAACAGCTTCAGCGCAGGGAACATGGAAGCAAACTGAACGAAAATATGGTTCAATTTAAGGCTTGTATGACTCAGCTTCAGTCGGGGAATATGGAGACCAAGCAATAGAAAATATTTTTGAGTTATTAGGAAATTTTATCTTTTTTTTTTTTTCCTCAAACATTAGGTTTAAGCAATTATCTGAATTTTATTTTTATTTTATTTTGTGCATCAGCCGAAGATAATTCAGATTTTTATACTCTGTATCACAAGCGTTACTTGTCGAGGGTTGCAATTAACAATAATAATAATTTGGCAGGAGTTTGAAGTCAACTTTTAGGTGCTATTTGGTAATCGGGAATAGAGTAATGAGAATAGAAATGAAAATTTTATTCTTATGTTGTAGCTGTTTGGTTAAAAAGAATGAAGTGAGAATGGGAATGATGAGTGAGAATAAAAATGAAAATTTACATATAATTTTATTCTTACATAAGATGTGAGAATAAAAATAAGGAATGAGAATGAAATTTTTTTTCAAAATAATAATATATTTTATTTATTTTTTGTCTATTAACTATTTTTATCATTAACATTATCATAATCACCATCGCAACCACTACCATCATAATCAACACTATCATCATCGAACCACCATCACAATAATAACCACCACTACCACAATCAGCACTAGCACCACCATCGTAACCATCACTACCATCATCATCATCGTTGTAATCATTACCACCATCACTACCACTACTATCACTTTTATTATTTTTATAATTATTATAGTTTGATAAAATTATTTTTTTAATCATTATTTTTATTTGTATAAAAAAATAGATATTAAAAAATTTAAATTGCATTTCAATTCCTCATTAGTATTCCAAACACAATATGGTAATACAAGTGTCATTTCGATTCTTTAATTTTTATTGTGATTCATGTATTTCCATTCCGGACTTTTCATTCCTTATATAACCAAACGACGACTTAAAGTTTGTTTTTATACTAAAGAGCTTGTAGTTTAGTAATAGTGATTCAAATTTTAATAGATTAATTTTGTTAGGAGCCTTATGTGAGGTAAATAAATAAATAAATTATATTATATAAAAAAAAAGTTTGTTTTATGTGGTTCTTTGGATCATAAATAACTCTATCATGCTCTTAAAATTTTCTCCTATAGTTCATATATATTACTGATATGAAATGAAACATATTACTAATTCATGTGGAAATTCAGTTCTGAAAAAAAGATCCATCATGGTTTGAATAAATGGATATGAAGCCACTAACTAGGGATGATTATTCAGTTTTTCGGTTCGGTTTTTTTTTTTTTTTTTTTTTTTTTTTCGATTGACCAAATTGATTAAAACAAAAACCAAAATCGAACTGAATTAAGGTTCAGTTTTTCGGATAAAAAACTAAAATTTTCGATTCAGTATTTTAGTTTTCAGTTAAAAATTGATTTTTTTTTCCCTTTGAATCTCAACCCTATAACAACGACTTCAATACCAAAAAAGCTCCCAGTTGACGATCTCCCCAATCCAACCCAGACTCCTACCCCTTCACAGCTTACTGCCATCAATACATCAAGTATAAGCCACAATTCATAAATTAATTTATTGGCCAAAATTGATTGCATTCATTTTTAAAATTTTAAATTGGAAAATTTAATTAAAAATGAAAGTTATTGTATGAAAATAAAAACAAAAGTAATTATCACAAAAATCCAACATAAAGACTAAATTATAAACAAATATAATAATTAAACTCAATATAATATGGAGACTCGATATTGATTTTCTTAAAATAAAGATTTAACTAATTATTCTTTTACAATTAAACTCAATATTAATATTTTTTAAAATAATAAATGAATAACTAATTATTTTACATTAAAACAAAACTAATTATTTTACTAAAAATACAAAATTAAATAATATAATAATTAATTGAAGCAAACAATTTTAAAAACATTCCTTGTGTCATTTTAAAAAATATACTTTACCATCCATCGTTTCTTCTTCATTTTGGCACATTCATCAGAAAGTTAACAATTGAATTCCATTCCTGGCGTGTTTATTCAATGCACGTGCAGCAGCTATGAACCCCACAAGACACATCCTCTCCTTCCCAGTTCTCATGTCTCACAAATACATGTAAAGGACTAAAGGGCGTGCTTATTCATTGCAAGTGCAGCAGCTATATACCCCACGAAGCGTTGTTGACTTGTTGCAGCCAACGTGCCGAAATTAAGAAAGGGGTAATTGGCAAGGGATGAAGGGGCTGTTTGGCATATTTAATTTTCTGTAGAAACCAAATTGTTTTTTTTTTAAAAAAAAAATCAAATCAAACCAAAATAATTTCACCTTTTCAATTTTATTTTTATTTTTTCAATTTCATTATACAAAACTAAATCGAAATTACTAATTTGATTTTAACCCAATAATGTTCACTCTTACCACCAACTGCTTGGATGGTGGATGATGTGCCAGTATGTATATATATATATATATGCTCGCGCTTGCGTCAAAGAATGGTGTTACGTTAGAGAGTAAATAAAAGAATTAGTTTGAAAATCCTTAATTAGGAATTGTTCAAAACCCAAGGATGTTTTGTATCTTTCCAGAATCAGGAAAAGCGTGTTCACCAGGGAGGGATTCGCGAAACCTTCAAAGCACAGAAAGAAAAATTGATTGGTGGTTTTAAGCATGGTCTGTCAAATCATAAATTTATTAGTATTTCGTTTTCTACTTACATTATATGGTCCCCATTTTTCAAATTGCCGCGTGTACGGTCAACTCAGACTTCCTAAGAAGGCATTATTGATTCAACAAGAAGCCGGGGAGATGTTAACTATTGGCCCAATTTTCCTTAAAAGTTGTTAGGATTAGGAATAGTCAAAACTCGAAAGGGTAAAGCATAATATTCTCTTCCTTTGAAAAGGGCCAAAAGGTTGCTTACTTTCCAAGAATTAAAATCATTTTGGAGTAGTTGTCCAACCCTAGCAGTTCTGGGTCGGTCTAATGATTCTCATACTCAATTTTAGAATATTACCATACAATATATATATATAAAACACCAGAGAAAAGAGACAAAAGTACTATGCTAATATAGATTTTACAAGTCAAAAAGATGATATCAACCAATAAGAACATATAATACCTTCAATAGGCTTTGATTTATTCCATCTATTCTTACGGTAGCTAGCGTTCTATTTAAATGAAAAGTAAGAATAAGAGAGAACTTTAGGTATGTAATTACTTTGTATTTAATAGAAAAGTGAGAATAAGAGAGAATAAATTAATGGGCCATGATTAACAATTGAATTGAGTATGCTTGTTACGGATACAGACAGAGCCAGGTTTGATAGAAACAATATGAATCCTTCAACCTCATGCAATGCAATATAATGTCGTATTGCTTTCTAGTGGTCCCACATTATTGGTACTATCTTATTAGGAATTGTACATAAACGATGTCTGAGAATATCATCCATTTTGTCAACATAGCAGGTGAATCTTCTTCTCTTTCCGCGGCATTTCTCATCGATGCTTGTCTTCACATTGGGACTCAAATTATAACCAAACAATTATTATATCATTTGACCACAACCAAGTCTCCCAACTTGATAATAATAATAATCATTACGAACAAGGTGGATGATCTATGATGCCAAGGCCCAACAGAAAGTCAAGAGTACAATTACATTGTCTCACACTTGAAAAATAAAATAATGTAATTTGTCTTCTACCTTAATCTATATGACAATGCACATCAAAATTTTCTTATTCGGTTTGAAGTTTAAGACTTCCCACTATAAAAAAACAAAGGAATAGCGACCGTTTATTAGTAGCGGCAGAGAAAACTCGTTGATAAATATCAAGAATTAGCGATGGTTTGAATAAATTGTAACTAATTTTGTTAAAGGTGTTGGTTTTTAACGATTGTTTTCTAAACTATCGCTAATAAGCCACAATTTGGGGAAAAAAACTCCAAAACGGACCCAAGTTAGAAGCTTTTAACGATGGTTTTTGTTGAACCCTTGCCAAAAAACCATTTATGGGGTTTTTAGCAATGGTTTAAGAAGACTATCGTAAATTCATCCAAATTTTGGGATTGTTAACGACGATTTTTGAAAAATCCTCACTAAAAATCCTTTTTGGGGGAATCAACGATGGTCCGAGAAGATCGTTGTAAATTCCAAATGAGTTTTTAACGATAGTTTTAAGAAAACTGTCGCTAAAAGATCATTTTCGACGAAATTAACGACGGCTTAAATAAACTATTGTTAATTTTTTCAAAAATTCTAACATATACATTTGGAGATTTTAGCAACGGCCTTCTTAGACCGTCACATATTCCACTCATTTTTAGGGTTTTTAGCGATGGTTTTCACGAAACCATCACTAACAAACCCTCTTTTTTCAGATGATTTTAGTGACGATTTTTAAAAAACCATTACTAAAACTCTTAAGCTAAAATCCATGAAAATATTGGGTATATTGATCGTTTTTTTTGGCTTAAAGCCATTGCTAAACACCAAAATTAATGCGGTTTTCATAAATTGTCGCTAACTACCATTGGAGGGAAATGAATTTAAAAAATAATAATATTAGCAATGATTATAAATTGTCACTAAAAATTAATATTCCTAAATACCTATTCCTCGAATTTTTTTCCCCATTTTCTCGCATCTTTTCTCTTCTTCGCTTCTTCTTTCGGTAGATCTAAGCTCCATATTTCCCCTTCATCCACAACAACAACTCCATCCAAGCTCCCTTTCTCTCTTTTGTTCTTCTCCATTTTCATCTTCTTTCTCTCTTTTCCTTCTCCTCCTTCCTTCCCTCCTCTTCTTCGTGAAGCAGTACAATGACAACAACTCCTCCTCCTTCTTGGAAGCAACTCTTCCTTCTTTACTCCTCCATTTGTGTAATTGGTAACTCATTAAGTTTTATTTTTCCATATATTTCAATAATTTTATATTTTTTGTTTAATAATTTATATTTTTTATTTTTATTGTTTAATAATTTATTTATTAATTGTTAGTTAGTTTAATTTATTTTGTTATTATAGTTAATTTGTTATTTTTTAATTAATTTAATTATCCGTTAAAAAATTATTTA